CCATTAATATATGCTCAATTAATCATTACAATCTAATTTATAGAAATTCCTAACTCCGATCGAAAAGTTGCCCAAAACGCCCTCGGGCCCACGTGCCCGGAATCCAAAATTTTTCAAAAATAAAGATTACCCATGACCTTAGGAACTCAAATATATAATTTTCACTAAATTCCATACTCAAAATCGTGGTTAAATTCCAAGAATATAATTTCTAGGTCTTTCTACCAAAACCCCCAAATTTCAACCAATTTCATGCTCAAATCCTTACATAATTGATGTATTTAACTTAAAATGGATGGGGATATATTATCTTGACGTTGAAGACGAAAATCCCTCTCTTGAAGCTCCCCAAAAATCGTCCAAGCCATGAAAAATGTAAGAGAAATGACCAAAATCTAACTTTAAAACAACCTCTCTGCCTCCAGCTATTTTCGCACCTGCGGTCCTTTGACCGCTTCTAGGTTCCGCAGGTGCGGTCCAAATCCGCTTCTGCGGTTCCTCTCAAGCCTCCACATTTTCGCTTCTGCGGCACGCCATTCGCAGATGCGGTCCCGCTTCTGCGGAACATTGACCGCATCTGCGGTCTTCTCCAGCTGCCCCTCTTCCGCTTCTATGACTATCCTTTCGCAGATGCGGTTCCGCTTCTGCGGAATCTTGACCGCATCTGCGGTCCTCGAGCCTTGACCAACCTTCTGCTTCTGCGGCTTTCTTTCTACTTCTTGCGGCCGACTTCTACGGCTTGCCCACCGCCAGAAGCGAAAATACCAGCAACCACGATCCTCTAGCTGTCCAAAATTCCAAAACTTTACGTATCCGTTAAACTCTACCCNGGTCCTCGAGCCTTGACCAACCTTCTGCTTCTGCGGCTTTCTTTCTACTTCTGCGGGCCACTTCTACGGCTTGCCCACCGCAGAAGCGAAAATACCAGCAACCAGATCCTTCAGCTGTCCAAAATTCCAAATTTCGATCCGTTAATCACCCGGAATTCACCCGAGGCCCCCGGGACCCCAACCAAACATACCAACCAATCCCAAAACACATTACGGACTCGCTCGAGGCCTCAAATCACATCAAACAACGCAAAAATCATGAATCGACCTCCAATCCAAATTTAATGAACTTCAAAATTTCAAACTTCTATTTCCGATGTTTAAACCTATCAAATCACGTCCGATTGACCTCAAATTTTGCGTACAAGTCATATTCGACATAACAAACCTACTGCAACTTCCGGAATCGGATTCCGACCCCGATATCAAAAAGTCTACTTCCGGTCAAACTTCTCAAAAGCCTTCAAATTTCTATCTTTAGCCAAATGGCTCCAAAATGACCTACGGACCTCCGAATTCACTTCCGATCGCGTTCCCAACTCCAAAATCACCATACAGAGCTATTCCCGGACTCCGAATCCTAAACGGACATCGATAACACTGAAATGCACTTCAAGCCAAACTTAAGAAATTTTTTTAAAAATACTAACTTCCACAATAGGCGCCAAAACGCTCCCGGGTTATCCAAAACCCGAACCGGGCATACGCCCAAGTCTGAAATCATCATACGAACCTGCTGGAACATTCAGATCCCGATTCCGAGGTCGTCTACTCAAAAATTCAATTCTAGTTCATTCTTTCAACTTTAAGCTTCCGAAATGAGAATTCTCCTACCAATTCAACTCTGGACTTCCCAAAATTCAATTCCGACCACGCGCACAAGTCATAATACCTGAAATGAAGCTGCTTACGGCCTCAGGCTGCTGAACGGAGTGCTAGAGCTCAAAACGACCGGTCGGGTCGTTACAATTTAATAACAGAAATATTTCTATAATTAGATTTTGTGCAATCCACATGATAGAACTAAAAGGATATCTTAGCTAGCAGAAATAAATATGTTGATCAACTAAATAAAAGGTTGATTGCAAAATTTTATAGTAAAAATAAAATATTTTTCGATTTTTGACTCAACAGAAAATGATACCAATAATTACTACCAAGAATAACACTTAAATACTTTAATACCAAATGGTCTTCTACCATACATGTTTGTTGTCAACTTTCTTATTTCTTATGTATGTTAGCGCCACCATATATATAATAGACTATGTTAAAATTGATTATCCATTATATATAGGTTAATTTTGAAGGAAAAATATGTCTGTCATGCTACTGAAAAACTTAGATACGTCGAATAGCATATGTAATAACACATATATGGTATATAAAAGTTTTGACAATAACGTTATACATGCAAAAATTATAATAATGGTTAATGTGCTTTTAAGTATATTCTTATCCCTGAATTCACCTTTTGTCTTCCGAAACTAAGGAATATCCTTTTAAATTTGTGTGAAAATAATTTTTAATATGTTTATGTTTTGCATATATAATAAATAAAGTATAAGGACAAACATCCTAAATACTGGACTATATTTACGTAATATATTTTCTTGCACAAGCAACTGTATGTTGTACTTTCAAGATGGATATCAAGATCGGCAACAAGAGTTCTGGTTAAGGCGTAGCAACCAACACATTGGGAGGAAAAATACACACAAAAATATTGCCATAAAGAAGTGTTCGTTAAGATACCATCACATTAAATATTTTTAAGCTATAATATATAATTATCTAATTAACATAACAAAATTAATCATTTGTGTAAGTTTTGATGATGTCCTTTTATTTTAAATTTATATATGAGGAATTTACACAGAATACAACTTCTTTAACACTTATTTATAAAAGTTACAACTGCTTTTAGAAAATTTCACAAAATACAATTTATTACAACATTTTAACTTTTTAATTAGATTACTAAGTTCATAAACTCCTAAAATTTCTCCCCTAAACGTGGGACACTGGCACAAATAAATTGTTAAGTGGTCAGTTACACATTACCTAATTTTTTAGGCTCCTATAATATCTCAACCATCCCTGTATTAATCATTAATACAATCAAAACAAATTCACTCTCAAAAGAAATATGCCTTTTCAGTTTTAAATTATAGAAGGTTTTCATTTTTTTCCCTTACAACCCCGACAAACCATACAAGGCTTGGAAATTTTGCAGCCGAAAGTGTTTGCTTTCCCCAAAGTTTTTTTGACAATGTATGATTTTATAATATATATATATATATATACTATATATATTGTTATTGTATATTTTAATAATATATACATTTTATTATATACATAATATTTGTTTCCCCCAAGTTTGCTTTTCCTTTATTTCTCCATCAGCAAAATGTCTTTACTTCCTCCAAGTTTTTATATGATGTATATATATATATAGTAATACATTTTGTGTGTGTGTGTGTATACTAGTATATATTATACTAGTATAGTATATTTGTTAATAATATTTCTTCTTTTTTTCAGCTTGATGTTTGTATACTATATAAATATATAATTAATATATATATATATATATATAATTAATATATATATATATATATATGTATATGTATATGTATATGTATGTATGTATATAGTATACAAATATTGAACTGATAAAAGAAGAAGAAATATTATTAACAAATATACTATACTAGTATAATATATACTAGTATATACACACACACTATGTATTACTGTATTTTTCTTTTTTTGGATAATGATTCCTTCAATATATCCAATAAAATTTTTGGTCTTCTTAATTTGATTGATTAATTTTGCACAGTTAGAGAAACGTAAAATTTTTTGGTTTATCAACGTGGTTATGAGATATTGTTATAATTGTCATCAATAATTAACAAAATGGAGAATGTTTAGGGGCTAATTATGGGATATATTATTCCCCTTTAATAGGACATCTGGCGTACTTTTAGGTATATTTTTATACATTTGTTGTAGAATATGTTATTATATTATTAGTTGTAGATTATAAAATATTTTATAAATTCTTAAGTAATTATGAAAATTTCCCTATATATATTATGACAATGTAATAATATATTTCGGCATTTAGATAATTGTTGTATTAGTATACATAAAATTTCTCTCATTAATTAAATTTTATGGTTCCTCCATATAAATAAATATTTAAATCATCTCGCACCATTATTAACGTGCAACGCACGTTCATAGATACTAGTAATATAGATATTTCCGAATGTGAATGAATAATACATAGCCATGTTTAGTATGCAATGAAATCACCTGAGAATAGTTTCAAGTGCCTGGTTGTAACTAATATTAGTACTATGTTTGATTTACCTTTATGTGGCACTAAAAATAATTTTATATGTGAATTAATTACTGAATCATATTTTGTATACAGATAAAAGACTATCCTTTTATCTGCTATATCAAGATCTTTTTATAAGAATCATTTTTTAAATTTATTACTATTTTACTTTGTTGCAAGCGCGGGTAGATTTATTAATTTTATATAATTAAAAATAATAGCAATGAATGATATAGCATGGTCCAATGATTTCAGTATTTTTGATATCGAATATATGTTAAGTTAGAAATTAAAAATAAAAAAAATAAAAATAAAACTATAATTTCTAAATGATTATGGTTTCATGATAAGAACATAAAGGTTGAACCCGTCACATATAAATTCTAGATTCAAAAGTTATTATTAGTCTTTTTCTAATAGTAAAAATAGTAGTCACTTTCCAATAGGATGAGTAATAAATTGAGAGAAACTAAGAAATAAATAGGAGAATCTAGTAAATTATACTTTGCATTTAATATTTTCTTAATGGAAATGCTAGAACTTTAAACAACACTTAAAATGAGATCAGATAGAGAATTATTCTATTTTTGGCACCGTAATTACTATTAACTGTATTATTATCCGAGTTTTTAATATAAAACATCTCTTAATAAGTCTGCAATTGTTCGGGTATGAGAGGATTTCAGCAATGTAGGGCAAGCTTTAAATCGCTAAAAGATCATAAGTCTGCAGTTGTTTGGTCAAGGGTGGTAATGCTAATTCTGAAAAGGAAATTAAGAAGAGCTTATAAAAGATAATAATTGAAAATTGGAACTTAATAAGATCAAGTCGTTGAGGAAAGAGGAGTTATGCGAATAATATAAATAAGATGTAGAGCCAATTCCAAACTAGTTTTAAGCATGTTAATAGCTCCCTACTGGAATCCACATATATACAACACTAATTTTCAGTCAAACAAAAAGCAATTTCATAACTTAATACATCACTTCCAGAATGCCAAAATAGGTCTTTTAAAGCCAGTTTTGCAACCAGATACACTTGATGTTATGTCCTCTACCATTCTAAATCCAATCTGCATTCAGATTAAAGGGATGTGTCAGTGAAACCTACCCATAGTCATGAAATATTTAACTTTCAATTTAAAAAAAAAAAAAAAAAAAAAAAAAAAAAGGAAAGGGAGGGAGGGGGTTATAGAATTCCCTGCAACATACCTTGTCCAAAAGTATGTCTTGAAAATCTTCTGGACGGATCTTAATATTGTGATAATTGATTCTTGTTGTCTGCATAGCAAGAACAACATTAACATTTACAATTTTGGTACGCAAAGTAAAAAAGAAATCCCAATATAAGGTCTTCTCCGTATAGAAAGCACGCATGTGAAGCTAGTAATATATGAAAGGATAATACCTCAGATACAAGACGATTATCGTAGTATGATTTCCAAGGCTGAGGCTCCAAAATAAAGACACCACCCTGCTATCAAAAAAGTACACAGTTAAAACATGAGTTTCTTTCTGTTTTCAAGGAATTGCTTCCTATTACACGTGAACATTACCGGTGAAAGGAGCCTCCAGACTTTGGAAAACAAAGTTATTACTCCCTCATCTCCCCAATTTAAATGCACCCACTTTGACACACTTAAGCTGCATCCAATGAAATTCAGCTCTTCAAGCTCACATACATGGAAATAGAATAAAATTTCAGCACCCAATACTAAAAAACATACTATACATTCTCTTGCTTTAGATCATATGATATAATCATATGATATACAGAAAAGCAGAAAACTGGGTCTAATCTTCTCTGTAAGAAACCCTCAGGGAGCGATTCAAGTGCTAATCAATCTTTGGAAAAGCCAAAGATTGAGAAGCCTGCACCCAGCCCCAACACTCGGGCCAAATTTCCCATTCCCCAAGAAAGAAAAGAGAAAAAGAAAGATCCCACAATAAAATTTAGAAGACTATTGCAGTTGATCTCAAAATTGTCGCACACTAAACAGTAAACACTATTGGAACATAATGGCAGATAACTCAGTTAGAATCACTTATTACTTATGTTGAGCAGACTCTTCATTTTAGCCACCGCACTTGTGTCGACACGACACTTGTACTGATAAAGGAGCCTGCCTCACTTTGGATTCTCCAAGGTATTCAGACCAGCTTTACATGCTTTCTAAGTCACCAGGAAACTGATGCCAATGACCATCTATTCTTGAATTGTGTTATTACTGGACAACTTTGGCAGCTCTTTATAACACTAGCTAGTATTGTTTGGATGATGCCCAAGGAGGTGTTGGCTTGATATGCAGTTGGAACAGTATTAGGGGAAGAACCTGTCACAAGGAATGGTGGAAGATTGCTCCAGCTTGCATATGGTGGACAGCTTGGAAAGAGATGAATGCAAAATGTTTTGAAGGCAAGAGTACTTCAACACAGAAAATCAAGATTCATGCATTTCTCTTTTTCATTTTTAGTTTAAAGAAGAATTGGTAGGTGATGCAGAATCAGTACTAGACTTTTTTGACTCGCTGTAAATCTCACAGAGGTTCTGTACTAGTAAATATTATAGAGCAGCCCTATTTTGAGTGCTGATGAATATAAATATTACCTTTCTCAAAATAAAAATGATATTCATAAGCATGAGAGTCCATAAAAGTCTCTTTGTTCCCCTCTTTTAACCATGTCTTTGTGGTGTCACAGATAGGAGTGGAGCTAAAGGAAAACAAGGAAGACAGAATCCACCCAAATCATACTCACTTAGGACTGGTCAAAGTTGGATGTCAGGGAAACGATAAAAAAATGTTCTCCAGCTAATAAACTCTTTAAGCTTTTGCACTGTTCTTTTATCATCTTGTTCTGCTTACACAATTTGCCTCTACCGCCAAAAGAAGTGCACCTTTAGAATAAAATTTTGGGTGATTTTGAAAAGGAAACACAAGTTGTTCCAACAATATAACATCTTGGGTACCTTTTCGCAGAAGGATTGCAATTGACTAAAAGATTTCACACCTCTTGAACCATACGGGGAAGATGACGTTAAAGAAAAAGAAAACTTACCAAATAATTGTATCATAAGATGTATTGTCTCTTGGATGCCAATTCTGAATAAAATCTCCTTTCTTGAAGGATACTGTGTCAAGAAAATCTCCCTCTTGCAAATGATGAGGTGCTGTACAATCATTCTTTGCCCTTTTATTAAGAGACTCTGCCACAGGATCTTTTAAACAATTTACAGTATTTGATTCTGCTAATTTGTCACCCACTGCAGGCACTGTTCTAATACTCTTCACTTTTCTCCTGAGAGTCCAATAGGCATCATTAACTCTTGCTGGAAGAGGTGAAAAGAGAGAATAAAAGTTATAAACTACATCCTAGCAGCTCTCAGTCAAATACTAAATCCATCAGATCACACATTAGTTAAGATGCCTATATGGATAACAGAATATGGTATTATCGGCAACTATGGCAATAAGTCGCAAAAGAGATCAAGAGGCCAAATTTATACAATAATAAGAAGGAAAAGAAATTAAAGAGTGACAGTGTGACACAACAATCCGACCAACCGCACATTACTATCACTGCACAAAACAATTGTTTGGTCCATCCAATTGCACAGGAAAAATCAACAAAATGCACTATGTGGGTTCAAAATCATATACTAACAAATTCCCGTTCAGCTGGTCTCTAATAAAGACTGATCCATGAAAGTAACATTTGTGCAGTTCACAATTTATTGGCATCTTAATCAGCTCCTGATTTCTTCCGGCCATAATCAACTACATGTGAACCAAATGTGTAGACCAAATGAAAAGTTCAAATACTTACCACCATCAATGTCAATTCCAAGGATGCTTCGGCAGCTAAACTTTTGTGCTGTAGGTCAAAAAAGGATAACTGATATTAACAACAGACAAAAGAAAAGGGAAATGTGTAACCTCTATTGGTGGATAATGTTAGCAGAGATATCAAGCAAAAATCCCACATGCGACTAAAAGCATTAAGGAGAAATCCCAATTCAGAAACAGATATGCAATTAAGAAACTTTTACCAATGGCGATTGTGATCACTCCACTATTACAGCCAATATCAAGACAATCCTTGCCTTCAAACCACTCCTTCTTCATAGCTTTTAACCTTGGATCTTCTTCCAAATCCTGACCAATCTGTACACCAAAACTACCAAATAGTGAGAGTCTAACTAAAAGGTATGCAGTGATGAACTTGCTCAAAATTATGTATGAACTTATGATAATTGAATGAAAAGAATTTTAAAAAAAACTAAAAGGTAACAAAACAAAAGAAATTCTGAGCTGCTCCCAAATTGCTTCAACTTGGGAGCAGTAAGATTTTCCGGAGATAGCACAGGCAATAGAAACCTTAAGACAGTTAGGGAAAAACTTTTAGTGTCTTACCTTTGCCCCTAAAAACTACAATCCATCTGTGCTAAAGAGAGGGTCAGTTGGTAAAAGAGGAAAATAAAAATATTTTTCCTTACAATAAGGATTATCTTCCTCTGTAAGAGCTCTCCTTTCCAACATTAGATCTATTCATCAACTAAAGAATTATTAACTTGAATCCTGTGTTCTTTAATATAGCTTTCGGCATATAATCACGACTGTATTCCCCTGCCTTATTAGTCATGAGCCATATCAAACATTACCTAAGATGGGGGTTTTTCATATAATTGTGGGTATCTAAGCAAGTTGTGCCCACCTTACTTATTACACCCATGGGCGGAACTAGGTAGACTGAAGGGTGTTAAACCGACACCCTGAAAATTACACAATGTAAATAGAGTAAAATTAATATTTTTTGGTTATATGTGAGATGTTGATTCCCCTTGACATGAAGAAAAATACAAGAATAGTAGTTAAGGGGGGTTCAAAATTGCTTTAGGTCATATGTTATTATGTTCAAATTACAACGGTGACATCCTAGAATATTTTTGAATCACCTTGTATAAATTCACGGTTCCGCTAGTGATTCCACCCCTACATTACATAGTATCTATGCTTATGAAGATACGGGGTAACTCTCCCCAAGTATCTATGCTCACCAAGGCTTAAGGTTTTGCCTAGATGGGATTTATTTCCTTACATGGAATTTAATGCAAAACTCATCCATTAGCACCCACAAACCAAACAAGTAATGGGAAGGGTATGTAAAAATAGAGAATGAGGGAGAAGAGAAAGGCTTACTCTATAGCCATAGTAGTTTCTGTAGTTACCATAGAGAGCAACTTCTTTACGTTTTTTCTTCTGCGTCGTCGCTGATGTGTCCTCGTGATGTTCACCGCCTGTTCTTACTCGTTGGTGCTCCATGGAAATATGAAAAACCAAAAAGGCAGATGATCCAAAGGGTTTATGCACTCAATGGGATTAGGGTTTTAGCCGGCTCTTTATACAGCTGTAGGGAAAACAAAGACACAGGTATTATGTGATTTTTATAGGGTGAACGACACAATTAACTACAAAAATAAAATTATTTATATTCATTTGCTTGTATACCAATCAAAGTAATTGATTTTCGTCTTTTTCTCCTTTTCTTTTAAATTTCTATGCTTCTTTTCTTTTTTCCTTCTTTTTTTTATTTTCTCTTTTTCTTTTTTCTGTTTTCTTCTCTCTTTATTCTCCTTTTTTATTCATTTATTTTTTGTCCAAATCATATTATTATTATTATTACCATAATTTAATTTCACACTCAATTTTGGCTCCTACTTTATTATTTTTTTCTTTTTGTTTTCTTTTGTTTATTTCCTGTTCCTTTTCTAATTTCATTTAACTCATTTTTTCTTTTATTTCTTTTTTTTCATAATCTAATTTCATTTAATTTTTTTGCTCTTTTTATTTTTTATTTATATAATAAGAAAATATTTGTTCACATTTTTTTAATATAACTGGTATAATATACATTTTATATTTTTTATTATGTTTTATTCAATTATTAAAATAAATTATACATTATAATTGTATTATCTTCTCTTTTTTGCTTTTTTAATTATTATTATTTCAAAAAATAAATTTATTTCCTTCTTTTCATAATCTTATTCTGCACACATCTTTGGCTCGTTTCTTTTTTTGTTTTTATTTATTTGTATTTTTATATATATTAATTATTATTGTCACACCTCTTTTTCCCCGAAAGGATAGGGGAGTTTTTCCAATTAAAGTGACATTAATCGAAATAGGATTATTTATTTCTTTCAAAGTCGCCACTTGGGATATTTGTTATGGCGTCCCAAGTCAGCGGTTTATTTTAAATCCCAAATCAAGAAAATTTGACTCTACTTTAAAATTTGCGAAACCAGAAGACCGAGTAAGGAATTCTATTAACCAGGGAAAAGGTGTTAGGCACTCTCGAGTTTCGTGATTTTAGCACGGTCGCTCAACTATAAATAATTGGACTAAGTATCTGATTTATTACATGTTTTAAGACTTATGTGCACTTTTACCTTCAAACCACTTTTAATAGAGTTTTAAATGCTTTAAAGATTTATGGAGTTTATTTGAATAAGTCGCGACGTCGCGCACTTATTGTTTTTGTACATATTGTGAATCGCGCAACGTGAAACGTACCTGCGGTTCGCAACATGTTTATTTTTATTATTATTTGAAGTTATGTCGAGTCACGTGAAACAGACACTCGAATTGGGATTTACGTATCGTGACCATGTCACGGGAGCCGTACCCATAGCCACAATGATTTATTTAAACGCGCCTAAAGCAAACTACGATTGTTCATGAACTTTTTTTTTCTACTTTGAGATTATTGTAGGGCCAAGATTTTATGGAAATTAGTTGTGGAAGTAAAGAAGTAACCAACTTTGTTATTAAAGAAGAGATGGGCCAATAGCATATTATTACGAAGGTGGGTCTGGCGGAGGATTTATTTGACCCAACTATTCATTTATCAAATTAGCCAGAACTAAAAGACCATACCATTCTAAACTTAATCTAATTTTCTGATTTTTTTCTAAGATAACCAAATGGCCCAACTAGCTTAAATACTAATCAAACAACCCCTCAACTAATAACAGCAACTCAAACCTAAATAATTCTTACAATCAATTCATCAAATTTATGCCAACTCTCTGACATTTCCATAGTGATTAAAGAAAACCGTCTTTTTGAGAAACAAAACGGCTGAGCACAATGGCTCCCTTAAACCCATAAAAGAGAAAAAGCCGTTGAGCACAATGGCTTTCTTATAAGTGGATTGATCAGCCAGTAATGTTCTATGGGCCTAGAGTAATCTGCTATTGTATGGACTTTTTTTATATCACAAAAAATAAAGTGTATAGACTTTGGCAGACAGCTTAACTCAGGAAATTGTACTGTAGTATAGACTATCAGTAGTTTTTAACTTGAGATAATTAACTGTGACATTTACCAAAATAGGAATACAGCTAATACAATAAAGCTGCTCGCGTTCAGGGAGTCACACTTTCTTATTTTAGTTGAGTTTAACAGGTATTTATTCAGTACTTAAGCCAAATCAAAACATAAAAATTCAAGTATCAGCCAAGTGAACTTAGCAAAACAGCCATAGTATCCATAGCAAGGCATATCTGACAATAGCTTTAAGGAAAAACATACCGAATAGATCGAGGATTAAACTTAGAGGAAAAGAAAGTCAAATAAAGGCTGGAACAGCGAATTGGAGTCCAACTATGCAGAGAACAGCAAAAATCAGCAGCACTTTTTGATCCAAAATGTTTAGAAAACCAGAAACATGGAGATAAACTGCTGCAACCTCAATCAATTCAGAAATATCCTTTCTATCCTCCCTTTTTTTTTATGTTTTCTTCTTCTTTTGTGGAATTTTCAGTGTTCTAAATAAGAGAGTGCTCTTTTTCTCTTTGGCTCTTGCATGTGTGCGAGAATCTGTAGGAGAAGTGTGAGTGAGATGATAGAAGGAAGAGGGGTCTGGCGGGTTGGAGGGAATGGAGAAGAGGAGGTCAGCGACTGCTAGGTTTTCCTTGAGGGAGGAATCTGATTGTTATCCTTAGTGTTAGGGGAATGGGAGTTTTAATGAGATGGGAAAAGAGGAAGGGACTAGTTGGGCCAGGCGGGTCGGTGGGGCTTGGGCTGGGCGGACGGATTTAACATTTGGGCCGCCTCTTTGGCCCAATTCCATTAAATAGCAGGGCAGCCAATTTCTTTTCTTGTTACTAGTTTTAGGATATACGCGATGCACGTTGTCACACCTCCTTTTACCCCCCCACCCCCCCCCCCCCCGAAAGGGGTATATGGGAGTTTTTCAATTAAAGTGACATTACTCGAAATGAGATTATTTATTTAATCAGAGTCGCCACTTGGAATAGTTTATTTGGTGTCCCAAGTCACAGGTTTATTTTAAATCCCAAATCGAGAAAATTTCGACTTTATTTAAAAGTCTGCTCTGTTAACCCGGGAGAAGGTGTTAGGCATTCCCGGGTTCCGTGGTTTTAGCACGGTCGCTTAAACTATTAAAATTGGCCTAATTATCTGATTAATTACATGTTTTAAGCCTATCGTGCATTTTAACTTTATAACCGCTTTTATCTATTTAAAACCGTTTTTCTTAGGATTTATGGATATATTACTTGAACAAGTTACGATTGTCGTACACTTGTTTGTTTTTGAAACACATCCTAAACCACGCTACATGAAATGCACCCGCGGTTCACGACATATTTATTTTTATTAAACATTATTGGAAATTGAAGTCGGGTCACATGAAATGTACACCCGGATTTTAGCAATTACAAATCACAACTACGTCATGGGAACCGTACTCGTAGCCATGATAATTTATTGTAGCGCGCCTAAAGCAAACTACGAAGATTCATTTTTAATATCTAAGTTACAATATTTGTGAGGGCCATGGATGATATAACTATGGATGGCACACCTCAGTCCATTTTCTCTTTAAAGGAATTGCATTCAACTACTACAAACTACAAATGTTCGAGAATTGTTCATTGAGCTTAATTTTGGGACAGTTCTAAAGGTCATGGTTTATGGAAGTTGGAATTGTGGGAAATCATATTAATTTTCATTTTTTATTACATGGAATTGTCCAAGCATTTAAGAACATATTGTGGCACCAAATTCCTAGAACAGAAACCTAAAGGCAATAAATTGAAGATAAAACACAATACAAACAAGTAGTATATCAGGAACAAAAAAAAAATCCAGTAGCTTTATGAATATTGAATATCGTGACATTAGGACCCTTAAACAAGAAAAGCTGGAGACAGGAGCACATTGAGTTATATTGGGCATCAGCTGACACACGTCGAAGCAATGAACTTCACAATCTCCTATAGAGGTGAGAGAAGTGCAACAGCTTTAAATACACCCACATTAAATTAGAGTCTTCTTTCTTGATTCGAGATTTCAAAGAATAATCAAATACATAACGTCGCCGTCGTTTACAATTTCCAGAACTAACATTCACCAAGTTTCTTAACTACAAGATCAGTAAAGTCTAATATTAATCCATGAATCTAGTTCCTTAATACTCTCATCAAATACTTCATGGCTCAACAACAATAACAGTTACATGAATTTAATGGAGAAAGAAGGGACAAATTCACATTTATAGTAACAAAACATATGTTAAAATTCATGGTTTCTATAAATTGAATGGAGATTACATTAATTAAAAGCTGGCTCGTACCTTAAATTTTAGCAGAACACAAAAATAACAGCTAGACAACTATGGAATTCAGCTAGTGACGGAACAGCAGCACTCGGCTTCGATTCTCAGTCAGAAAACCAAATTGAAGCCCAGAAAATAGTGAAGAAAAACTCCTTGAATCAGCAGCAACGAATGCACTTTCCAGAACCAATTTTTTTGTGTTTCTCTGTTGTGTGTAGGGGTCTAATGTTAGCTCTCCTCTTTTCTTATGTCTCTAGGTCTTCTTATTGTTAAGTCTCAAATCTGATAATGTGTAATGGGGAAAGAGATGGGCTTGGGTTTATGGGAATTGGGTCAAATTGAATTATAGCCCAATTTTAAGGCCTAATAAAGACCTTCCTCAAATTCTTTTCTCTTTTTGTTTTCTTTTTCTTTCTCTAATTAATTAAAAAACCAAAATTAAATATTCAAATTATAAAATTAAGCTAATTATCTAATTATAATATTTATCAAAAGAGAAAAATCAATAATCTAAAAATTAAAAGGTAAAAAATGTAAAATGAGCTTTTTTTTGTGATTTTCATTTTAATACAACAATTAGTTAACTAATTGATCTTAAAAAGGTATAAAAACAAAATTTAAATGCAATGCATGATATTTTGGTATTTTTTATGATTTTAATAAGAATTAAACATGCACAAAAATGCAAACAAAAAATCCTACAAAATCCTATAAAATGGCAAATAATTGAAAAAAATCTATTTTCTTTGATTTTTATAGGAACAATTCATATAGGGCAAAAATCACGTGCTCACACACGTGTACTTTATGTCAATGAGAATAAACTTTTAAAAATAATAATATAACACTCAAAATATATATTTGCGTTATAAAATAAAAATTAAATAAAGTGTTACAAGTTACTGAAAATGATATAAGTCATGTTTATGATTTAGATTTACTCTAGAAGTTCTTCCTTTTGTTCTGGTATATGCTTCATTTACAAAAACGCTAGAAATAGTGTTCGAGTGAAAGATAAAAAGGTCATTCCACTTTATATGGACGTTTTGATATTTTAATTTTCTACTTTGGACGATCCACTTTTATAATATTAATAATAATAGTTAACTACATTCTAAAATTAAAGAATATATAATACAACCTCCGTTTTACTTTGTTTGGCATTATTTTCTTATCAGTTTGTTCCCAAAAGATTGACATATTTTTATATTTCTTTATTGGAAAGCTTTTATAGCCACATAAATGGCTATGATTAGTTTAAGATTACAAGTTTAAAAGTTTTATAGCTACCACGAAATATTATGACATATTTAAAACTATAAATTTTAAAAAAAATTCCTCTTTATTAAACTTTGTGCCAAATCAAACTATGACAAATAAAGTGAAATAGAAGAAATAATAAAAAGGTATGAAACACATGTCTAGTAAATTCTTATTTGACGTGTAATGCAATGCTATAACCTACATATGACACTGTCAGCAACAAATTTGAATTATGCGCTCAAAAATAATAAACCACCAATGCTAATCAAGATGAAAAGATTATATTAGACCAAGTCATTAAAACTTCTATATAATCTCGTCAGGCTATCATGAGAAAAACCGCGTTTAAGTTGTATTTATACTTAAGCGCTCAAGGATTTCAAGTAAATAATTATTTTGAAAAGAATTAAGGAAACATTTAAATTGTATTTATACTTAATCGCGTCGCAAGTATATTTCGTTAGCGGGGTGATTACTTCCACTACTCTCATGGGAGCGGGCCATTCGCCTCGCAGGTTGATAATTGTATATATATGGTTCGGGCCTTTCGATCCTCAGTAGTGCACAGTTTACTTTTATGTTGGATCGGGCCGAACGTCCTCGGTGGTATTTGTGTGTAATAATGGAACCAGAACCTTATAATTCGTATGATTCATTGCTTGAAAGGCCACTTGTTTTAAATGAAGGAAATGCCTAGATTTATTGATTTGATAAGGGATTTTCAGTATTATTCTTGTGCGCACTGGTTGCTATCTACGTACATTGTGTATTAGAATATTGAACTTCATATTATTATATTTATCGACCCTAGTAAGTGTCAAGTCGACCCCTCGTCACTACTTCTTCGAGGTTAGACTGGATACTTGCTGGGTACATATTGTTTATGTACTCATACTATGCTTCTGCACTTTATTGTGCATGCTTTGAGGCAGGTGCATCTGGCTATCAGTCTGGCGCGTATAATGGACTCTTTGGCTTGAGATTTCCGGTGAACTGCCCTTCTGAGCTGCTCTGCTGCTGGAGTCTTTCTATGTCTTTACTTTTCCTGTCTATTTCCTTTCCAGACAGTAGGATTGTAACGACCCGACCGATCGTTTTAAAAATTTAAGCTCTGTTCGACGGCGTAAGGTCTTGAACATCTTCATAATATGTGTATCGACTTGTGTGCATGGTTGAATTCAGTTAACGGATGATTCAAAATCAAATTGGAAGAAGGAAACTAGTTTTGAAAGTTTAAATGGTGAGAATTTGACCGTAATTGAACTTTTGAGTAAACGACCCCGAAATGGGTTTTGGGTGATCTCAACAGCTTCGTATGGTGATATTAGACGTAGGCGTGTGTTCGGATTGTATTTTGGAGGTCCGTAGCTTATTTAGGCTTGAAATGCCGAAAGTTGAATTTTTGAAGTTTCCGGATCAATAGTGAAATTTTGATATCGGGGTCAGAATCCGATTTCGAAAGTTGAAATAGCTCCATAGTGTTAAATGTGACTTGTATGCAAAATTGGGGTCAATCGGACTTGGTTTGGTTGGTTTCGGCATCGTTTGTAGGATTCTTGAAATTTCAAGTTCTTTAGGTTTGGATTGGAGAGTGATTCGGGGTTTTAGCGTTGTTTGATGTGATTTGGGGGTTGGACTAAGTTCGTATGATGTTTTAGGATTGGTTGATATGTTTTTTTGAGGTCCCGGGGGCCTCGGGTGTGTTTCGGATGTCCAATGGACCATTTTTGGACTTGGAGAAGGATCAAATTTTCTGGTTTTTCTGTTGCAGACTTTCCTTCATCGCGATCGCGTAAGTAGGCTCGCGATCGCGTAGTCTTAGCTGAGGCAGAGGGAGTTTTGTTCTTCGCATTCGCGGGAAAAGGTATGCGAACGCGTAGTATGGTGGAAGGTTGAATCGCGAACGCGAGGGCTATGTCGCGTTCGCGAATAAGGAGTGAGGTAGCTGTGGAAATGGACAGCTTCTCTTCGCAATCGCGTGAGGTCAACCGCGATCGAGTAGACCTGAGCAGTGTAAGCATCGCGTTCGCGTGGAGAGTATCGCGTTCGCGTAGGGTAAATCTAGGAGCCAGCGAAGTTGTTCTTCGCGATCGCGTGGGAGCTTCCGCGATCACGATTAAGGTTGCGTCTGGGCAGAATATAAAGTTCAAAATCGAGGGTTTTGAGTTCATATCACAAAATTGAATTGGAAGCTCGGTAGGAGACGAATTTTGGAGAGATTTTCGGAGGGAGTTTGCGGGTAATAATTCTTATCTCCTTTTTGTTTATAACCCATTAATCTAAACATGAATTCATCATATAATTTCGTATTTGGGGTGAGAAATTAGGGAAAATTGAGAAAAGTTCTTAGGCCTAATTTTCGAGTTTTGATCAAAATTTTGGTACCGGATTGGAATAATTTTGGTATGGTTAGACTCGTGAGTGGATGGGTGTTCATTAGCCGTAATTTTTACCTAATTCCGAGACATGGGCCCGGGGAGGATTTTTGGGTTTTTCTATTTTCTTACCTTAGCTTCGATTCCTTTAGCTAAATTTGTTGATTGTAGTTATATTTACATTATGAAATTTATTTGATTAGATTTGGGCCACTCGGAGTTGGATACTCGTGGCAAGAGCGTGGTTTCAGGTTGATTTTTTAGCCGGTTCGAGGTAAGTATCTTGCCTAACCTTGTGGGGGGGACTTCCCCTTAGGATTTGAGTCTTCTATGTTGATTGTAGTTCGTGAACGCGAGGTGACCAGTGCTACTCGGACTTATTTATGAAAAATTGGCCTTTTAGAGTTCTTAGGTCTTTCTATTCACTGTGTATGAATGTGTTCTTGACATGACTGAGTTTCCTATTTACTAGTTTCACCTCTACATGCTTAATTGGAATTAATTGCTTCATGATTCACTCTTATTGCCTAATTGACTCCTATTTGACTTAATTGAATAATTTCGCATCTCGTATTGTCATGCTATCTTTTCATAGCTGCTTGTCTTAATTGAGAATTATTATTTTCCCTCATGAAATTTGTTTAGTCTTAAGTGAAGCTAAGATCATCTCTCCTTAAATTGAACTATCGAATATCCTCGAAATCGTCCAACCTTAAAAGGAGTTTAGATAACCTATATCTTTGTTGACTTACCCTCATCCGGGACTATTTGACTCGCATTGATTTCCTTGTTATTGACTTGTATATTGTGGAATCGTTGCTACATGTTAGTTTTCCCGCTGTTGAACTGTTCCCTTTATGTCAGCATTCTTTTCTGTGGTTATTCTTTAGGAGCTGGTTCTGCCGTTTCCTTGTGATTTACAGACTTGAGTCCATTTACTTGTTTTACCTTGTATTACTGTCATTGTTGTTGTTATACGTATTGTGGTGATGTACGAGCCTTCTGTTGTGATGTAACTGTTGTTTCTGTTGGTTGCGCTGCGTATTTACTTTGGGACTACGGATCGGTATTCCGGTAGATCCCCCTGTACATTTATATTTGGGACTACGGGGCGACACCCGGTAGATCCCCCTGTACTGGATATTTACTTTGGGACTACGGATTGGTATTCTGGTAGATCTCCCTGCACATTTATATTTGGGACTACGGGACGACACCCGGTAGATCCCCCTGTATTGGATATTTACTTTGGGACTACGGATTGGTATTCCAGTAGATCCTCCTGCACATTTACGTTTGGGACTACGGGACGATATCCCGGTAGATCCCCCTGTTGCTATCTCTGTGTTGATGTGTTCTGAGCTGTTTTCATTGATCCTATCCTTGTGTAAATAATATATGTGTTGTCCGTTCTATTTCTTATACTTACTAGCTGGTATGAACCATGTTAGGATACTTGCACAAGCATATACGTGGCTAAACACCCTAATCAGATAGGAGGCTTTTTGGTATTGTCGAGTGTAGACGCACACCATTGTTTATTAGTCCTCCATGTGAGAATGACCCTATTTGGTACATGACTTGTTAGTATGACTATGTGGTGTGATGAAGGTACAGGATG